TTTTCAGCTGTAAAACCGTCGCAGCATCCCCACGGTCGCAGGATCAAAAGATGCTTGCAGTGTCCCCGGGTTCACGTGATCCCCTTTTGTGACCTTCTGAGAAGCAAAGTCAATGGGGAAGCCAGATCCACTTACCGACTCTGTTACTAACTGAGCAACTGCAGGGATTCACTTAAACAATTTGTGACAAGAAAAGTCATAAAATGGGGCAAAATCTATTTAACCATCTTGCTCAGCAATGGAAATTTTGGGCTCAACTGTGCTTGTAAGACGAGGGCTACCTGTGCAACGTTTGACCAAAATCATCCCATCATATTCAAGATGGACAGTGTTTAATATTTATTTGTTATGTATATATAGGGGTGTGGGTCTATACACATGTTGTACATAATATGTTTAGGTGTGTGTCATGTATGTGTTTCACTTTGAGAGCGGGCAACTAAATTTCATTTTTGATGTGTGTCATGCCCACAGTAAAAAAATGACAATAAAGGTTATCTTATCTATCTTATCTATCATATCTCCATTTAGTTTAACATATTGGTATAAATGTCTGTTGAGGACGAACAGTGATAGTGCTAAGCCGTAAACTAGATAGAAGATGGTGCATTCCAACCATAAACCATTGTTTTTTTTTATTTAGTAAACCTAAACTGATCCCACGATGGCTTAACATTTTGTGTACTTTAGGACACAATGCACTGCTATATGTGAGCCATGTTGGAAATTATAAGGTAGCGAAGGACTTTGATATGAGGTTAGTTCTGCTTGTGCAGTTTTAACATCAAAGCCAAAACTCCCGCTCTATATCTCTTGATCAGAAGATTGCACAGAATATATTATTTGCCAATAATCACACCTACATCCTTATGGACAGATGTGTTTTTCTGTAAAGCTACTTCAGGCTTCCATGTAAGCTTGTGAGTAAGTTGGCTCAGCTCAGCACTGGATTCATTGTAGCCAGCACAATCTGAGTGGTGGTGGGATTCAAATATGTGAACAAATGGTTCTCTGTGTGGATGCCATTCCCAGAAGTCTGTTCTGGGCCTGGGCAACAAAAAATTAGCTACTGGTTCTACCGAACTGGTGTGAACTGGCTGAATCCCACCACTGAATCTGAGCTCATAATCACACTAAGAGAGGAAACTAGGTTCAACACTTTATTTCTGTGCAGAAGTAAAGATGGACCCTTGAATCCATAGTCCAAGTCAAGCATATCTGCTGATCGTCCCAAAGGTGCTTTTTCATGAGATAACTGGACTTTCTTGTTTTCCTTTGAAGACGTTTCGCTTCTCATCCAAGAAGCTTCTTCAGCTCTGACTGGATGGTGGGGAATGGAAGGAACAGATTTCCAGAAAACATTGCAGACTACAGGAACCATTTGCTCTTCAGTTTGAGATGCAGACAACACAGACTCATCCCCAACAGCCCATGCCTATCTCCAACATTGAAGGGACACAGGGCAGAAAAAAATCCTGTGGCCAAGAAGGAAACAAACATTTGCACTACCCAGGTGACCCTGAGGGCACAGACAACCTCCAAGTGGCCTCAGTGACTCTCTAAAAGAATGCAAATGACCGGCTGTCTGCAAGCAATATAAATCCTTCCAATTCCCACCATCTGGTCAGAGCTGAAGAAGTTTCTTGGATGAGAAGTTTAACGTCTTCAAAGAAAAGTAAGAAAGTCCAGTTGCCTCCTGAAAAAGCATCTTTGGGACAACCATGAACTGGATGACTGAGAATCTCCATTAACATGTCTGCTGATATCCAACAGCTGCTTTTATATCATAGAACAGTGGTTCTCAACCTTTCTAATGCCGTGACCCCATAATACAGTTCCCCATGTTGTGGTGACCCCCAACCACTTATACATCACCGGGTGCCAGGGGCGTGGCCAAAGAGAAAGGGAAAAAAATGGCAGACAGCCTTGTTTGGCGACTCCCGTGAAATGGTCGTTTGACCCCAAATGGGGTCCCGACCCACAGGTTGAGAACCACTGCCATAGAACGACAGAGACCCATCAAAAGTTCCTGATATTTCATCACTTGTCCCCGATTTATTGAAGACATGCACAGTTTAAGCTAACATCCCATAATAAGCATCGGAGGATGCACTCAATTAGCTAAATTCTCCACCTCTGAGTATATTTTTTAACATGCTAACAATGAACTTTTACCTGGACATTTTTCACCACAGCTTAAGCAAAACGCCACGTTACTTTTCTTTTTTCCAGTAATGGGCCTACTTGCAAAATTTTTTAGCCTGGTTACAAATCCACAATCGGTCAGCTAGGCCAGCACTTCCTATAACTGAAGCATTTGTGGTCAGCCTCTTTCGCTTCTTCCTATAAATGTCAAGGCAGGTGTTAGCTAACAGCTGATTCTAAAAATGACTACATATAGACAAAGTGATTAGAATAAAGTAGCTCTGACTAAAGCAGGTTTATAACTTATAAAAGCTCTTAATAGTTTATTAGCAGGCAAATTGCCTTACGCCCACAGCTGTATTGTAGGAAGGAATAGCTGAATTAATTTCGGCTATGAGGTATATTTTCAAGAGGCAATAAGTCCCAGGATAATGATGCAAGATCAAATTTGGTCCCTGAAGGTGGGCTGCAGCATGAGTCTGAAAGCTCGGAAGAGTATGACTGATTACTGTTTGCTGATCTTGAGGCCAAGTTAGGCATGAAGCTAGATCATACTTGTGTTGCTGACTTTTTTTTAAACAACCACACACACACACACACACACACACACACACACACACACACACACAATCTATTGCACTGAGAAAAGAGAGTGTAGGAGAGAAAAGAGAGTGCCCCTGTAGCAATCTTCATGGAATTGGATCTCGTAAGTTCTCTTGCAAATCTGTTTTCGAAACAATAATAAATAAAGGAAACTTCAACATTTGTGTGCTGAAGACCACCTTGTTTACACCCCTCGCCCCACCGCTAAATCTAAGAAAGAAATTAAGTTTATTTTGCCTTAATGCCAAAAATTATTACTGTAGTACATCTATAGAGAGGAGTCATAACTCAGGGTGATTTCTATGATCTCTTTGGATGCCTTCCGGATATTATCTGACCCATACATTTTGGGAGTTGATCCACACTGAAACATAATGCAAATACAGACCTCCTTCCTCCCCTGAAATGAATGTTGTGTATCTGTTAAGTAGGATCACTCCATTGGTGTCTTGAAATTTGGCATCTATCTGGTAACTATGGAATCAATTCAACCACAGGTAGTGAAGTTTATTTTATTTATTTGCTGTGATTCTGAGTGGCCTTGAGTTTATATTACATGAATGTATAAACCTCCTTTCCCTCTCCTGATTTGGGTAACATATGCATTATTTTAAGCCTGAGGAATTTGTAGTAAAGTTGAAGTATTAAAAAAAAAGCAATGCTTATTCAATGTCAATTTCTTCTACTTTGGTTGAATGAATTAAACCAGATGTCAAGTTTTCAGACTCCCTGTTGGAGACATTGTAATCTGGCTTGAAAAATGCAGGGAACTGCCTCATTTGCACAGATAATTTATCCTGAATATGGAAAGAAGCTTTGGGGGAGTGACTTCATCTAACATGCCTCAACAGTACAAAGTGTTATTCATGTCTCCTTATGCAACAATGGCTGGCATTCTCTCTTTCCTCCATCAACATCTATTGGATGAATTAAACATCTACAGTGAAGTCAAAGTCCTCAAGGAAGAGGGAGGGGGGAGTTGCATATGTTAGATATGAAGCTAAATAAGTCTCAAGTATTGAGATATTCTTTCTGATGTTTTTGACTTTGGGAGAAAGCTAGGCAGAATAATTTTCAAGGAATGAACCTAAGGGTGCAAATGAATTGTGACAGAGTAGAAAAGAAAAAGGTGGATCCAGGGAAATCATAGCATTATTGTGGGCCTTGCCAGAAGACAGATGGCAAGAAATGAAAAATAGCCCTAAACAAAAAGCAAAACTCTGAGGTCAGAGTCTGCAACGAGGAGTACAAACTGAGTAGAGGACAAAAGGGGTAGCAGAGCATGAGAAGAGACGTGCCACACCAGGCTCATGACTTCATCAGATCTCAACAATCTCAGGATCAGAATAAAATGGAGCAGAGAAGTACTGGGCATGGTGGAAACAAATTAGGAGTGGACTAATTAGCATTTTAATTACTTTGGGTTTTTCAAATATCAAAATTCACCTTATACAGGACTACCATATCTAGTCGGTAGAAATTCAGGTATCCACGAAATGCCGTCAAAGGGTCAGACTTTTCTGCAACCTCTAATGGACAGTCAGGGGTTTGCAGAGAGGGTAGCCCAATTGGAAGAATTGTTGACCAAGAGCCATGTTCTACACAATCAGTTTGTCAGTTTAAATGTATTATGTGGAAGAAAGAAATAAAGGGTTGAGGTTTAGAGATAGTCTCACCAAAACAAAATAAAAAAAATAAAAAGTGAATGAGCAGAACAATCTTATTTCACATTCTTTGACATATATGTAAATGCAGTTCATTATAGATCTCTCTCTCTCTCTCTCTCCCTCCCTCCCTCCCTCTCCCCCCCTCTCTCTTCATTAACTGCTATTGGACAGGGGAAATACCATATTCATCCAAACAATAGCTCTATTTAGTCCTGAAATCAGCTAAGTTGCTTAGCATTGGGAGGAAAAAACCTATGTCCTCTTTCACTATCCTCTGAACCAATTCAGATTTTTTTCCCTGTTATTGCTTTTGCTGTTGTTGCTGTTCTTGTTATTACTATGGCAAAAAGAGAGAGGGAGAGGGAGAGGGAGAGGGAGGGAGAGGGAGAGAATGAGAGGTTACAAAAAGCATCCATGCCCTTCCAACAATTCTATCTTTATAATGGACTATAAAGGTAACATCACCATTTTCTTATGTCACAATCCTTTTGCCATTTAGCTGCCACTGCTGCTGTTGTTGTTAGCAGGCTGGGCAGATTGCACATCTTGAGTGCAAAAGTTAACTCTAAGTCTTTGTATTTACAGGAATTAAGCATCTAAAAACCCAGAAGGACTTGGCATTTCCAGAGGAAGAGGAAGGAGTCTGTGAAAGAGATGAGGAATAGCACCCTCAATAGCACCCAACCTCTTGTGAAAAAGTCTCAATGGTCAAATATGAAACTGCTCAACTTTTCAGTACCTACTGTGGAACTTTATGGCTTATGTTCCTGACCCAAAACAGTCTTCATCCTGGTACCTAAGAAAAGGAGGGTTTTGCAGTGCAATTCATCATTTGCAGAACTGGCCTATGGTACCTCCTCGGTGAAGACAGTTGCTTCTTTCTCCTTGCCTTTTCCTTTTCTTTGTAGTAACTCAACTTATATGCCATATATACAAATATATGGTTTCCAAAGGTGTTGGCTCTACTATCTTAAATTCCAAGTGTGGGCTGCAGCCTAAAATCAGTTGTAAATAGTGCAGATTTAAATGCTACAAAATAAATACGATGTACATTTAGACTAAACGGTGCTTTGTAGAGTCTTCCTTGCAGCAAGAAAGCCAGATTGATGTAATTCCTTACAGATGCTCTACAAGATTGGGAAAAATCTATGGCTTCCTCTCATCCTCCAATCTTGGCTGAAGAAAGAATAGGCAGCTCAAAAACTTCTTCTAACTTTTGCCAGGGCTACAGATGTGGAGAAGGGGCTGAGAAGGAGGGTCCAGGGAAGAAAGGAAGCTGCTCTGCTTCTAGAAGCTACTTGAAGAGCAATTACTAGGGGATGCCTGGGTCAAAACCTTAGTGAAACAAAGTCTTTTCAGAGTATTTATTCATTTCTGGTTTTGCATGTAGACAGGGAAGATATATTGTTATTCTTTCCTACTTGCAAAAGAAAGGGGAGTAGAGACTTTTCAATAATTTAAAAACTGTTGAAAACAGTTGAACGATTAACCAGTGGAACAACCTGCCTCCCGGAGCGGTGAATGCTCCAACACTGGAAGTTTTTAAGAAGACTGGACAGCCATTTGTCTGAAATGGTATAGGGTTACCTGCCTGAGCAGGGGGTTGGACTTGATGACTTCCAAGGTCCCTTCCAATTTTATTATTATTATTACTATTATTATCACCTTATTTTTATGAGTTTCTGAGACATTGCTGCCTTAAATATCTCAAGAAATGCTATAGATGATTAGTATTCAGAGTTCCTTGGCTGCAAGAACAGGCAAACAGAAAATCAAGGGAGATATTCTCTTATCCTGGGAAGAGTGAAATTCTCCATCCAAATGCTCTCTTAAGCTTTTTGAGATTTCCATGCTTCTACACATGGGTGGCTCCGGACTGCCATTTACATTAAATTGGTATTTTTTTAATAGGTTTCTTATAAGATTTTCCTAACTTGCTCAGAGATCAAATTTCTCTGGTAAAATTTCATTAAGACATGCACAAAGATATCCTAAACTTGATTGTGTCAAAGAAATGAACCCCTAGTTCAGGGGTAGGCAATCTTGGCTCTTTTATGACTCGTGGAGTTGAAGTCCACGAGTCATAAAAGAGCCAAGGTTGCCTATCCCTGCCCTAGTTTATAATTCCCAACTCTGGATGTGGTGAGTATGTGGCCAGGAGGTTATGGCAGTCATGTGATCTCTACCAAACAGGTTGCTACACCTTCAGACCTCAGCATATAACATCGTTTTGAATGCACATGATACACACTTTGATTTGTAAATCCAGTAAGAACCTTATTGAAGCTAATAGCTATTAGCTATTTGAAAGTGGCATTTTAAATGAGCCTTCGGTCCTTTTGATTTGAAGAGATCTTTTTTCCAATTATCTATGGAATTTCCATCTTAAAATAAATGGCACTTTCAGATGATCAGCAAATTCACTAACCAGCAGTTGGTGACCTTGTATAGGCACATCCATCATATCTTTCTTTTCTAAATCTACTTGTGATATAGTTTAGAGGGAAGGAATAACAGTTTTTGCAAAATATGTGGAACAAGGTAAATAGAGCTGTATTTGAAGAGCCTTCAAAGACACACATTACACCATATGCAATTATTCAGCTATTACTTCTTAGTTGAAGAAGCATAGTTGAACAGGAAGATAGGAGGCTAATGGATAGGATAAAGATAGGAGGTTAATGGAAAGATATAGATTAAATAATCTCTGGATTTTCACTTGAGAAAAATTCAGCTAACTTGAAACCTTCACGTGCCATATCCAAGGGAAATACATTTGGGGGGGGGGACATGAACTACAAAAGACCATGTAGAAGCATGGAGATAATTTTGGAAGGAGAATTGTTAAAGGCTCCTAAATTAGCTTTACAATAATAATAATTTCAGAATAGAAAAAAAAACACATGAAAACTCAATGGCAATTTCCCCAATGGACTGTTGCAAAAGGGTATTGATCTCCCACATTTTAAATATAAATGTGAACCAAGTGGCATTTCATATTACTGGATCCAAAATGTGTCACATGTTAAGAACAACCTTGATAAATTGAAATACTTCCCTTGCTTTGGGAAACAATTTAATGAACTGGTTATGATAAGCTTGGAGAAGAAGTCTTCCAATATCTGAAGATAAATTATTCCCCTTGCCCCAGATAAGAACAATGCAGATTTCAGCCCAGCATTAGAAGAAATTGCTTAAAGGTATGAATTGTTGGATAGACTAAATTGCCTATGTGGTAAAGAAGAAATCATGCCTGCATTTATACAGAGGATGGACTCATGTGGCAGCAGTTTTTCTGTTAAGCAGGACTTTGACCTGAACTAGCCATTTTGTGATATGGTTTGATTTGTATTAAGGAGGAACAATATGGCCAGGTAGTAGAGACTTAGAAAAGAGATTTCCAGAAAAACCTATACCTATGCCTATACCACTGAAAATAGTGGGACTTGAAAGCATTTGGCTAGAGTTTGTAATTTGGCCGTTCATGTTTTTTTCCAAACAATGAAAAGGATGTTGTGCTTTTCTTAACAGTGAATGAGACTTTTTGGTTTCCCATGACACATTCCCTGATTTATGAACTCTTTTCTCCTGTATCTCTTTATCATGTTACTGCCCTACATTTTTTTTCATATTTCTTTTCTAGTTCTAGTGGGACCTCCCCTTTCCTATGTCATTTATTTGTCACAATTATCAGAGGACTGGTTTAACATCACACAAGAGCTTTGCCTTAACTGCTTTTCGAACAGAAGAATCACCATTCAGATCTGAGGTGGAGATCAATAACAAGAACAAATGTAACTCAGGTTTGGACTGCTGATATTTTTAAAGGAGAAATTGAATTAGTCACATCTTGAAAATAGCCATTTATTGTAGATATTCACAAGGGTATTTGTATACATCAATATTCTGAGCTATAAAGGCAGTCTAGGATATTCTACACTCAGATCAGTTTTACTACAGTAGGACCCATTCCTACAGAGGAGAAATTAGTAAATCAAGGGAATTTCCCCATATGTGACAGCATTTCCACAACTGGCAGCATGGAATGAATGTATATCGGTTTTATAGAAAAAATGTGGGAACCTCTCATTATGTAAGTAGGAGGGTGGAAATTATATTGTCATTTTGCTGATGAATTGTGAGCCCCTTGATTCAGCCAGAGGCAGCCAATGGGGCAGGGCAAAGTTGAAAATATAGGTTTTCATTTACTTTTTGTAGACTTGGAGGGAATTTAGGAGACAACATGGATATATTGAGCCTTACAGAGGTTTAAAATATTCATTTTATACTTAAAATACACTTTAAATGCTTAGGAACATCTTTCTTCCTGTGAGGATGGCAGAAACCTAATTTGAAATCCAATTTGGATTTCTGGTTTTTCATGACAGGATAGCATGCACACATTTTTTTCAGGATATCTCTGATTTCTCAATTTTCTTTAAAAAAAAAAAGAAAACGGCATCATTGAAATGACATGTTTATTAACTATCTTCAAAGATATATATATATATGTTTAAAATAAAGTGAGCACCAGGGTAATAAAACTATAAAAGTTTAATTTAATTTAAAAACGCCAAGCTTTTGCTGTCACCTGCCAGCATCCTCAGGGCTTATAACGCCATAGAGTGAGAGAGTCTCTTATAAGCAAGCCGAAGTCTGCGCCCAGCTCCTTGATCTCGTCATCGGACCTAATTGGTTAAATTGTGCTCCGGTGATTCGTTTCTTCCTGCACCCCTTTTTTTCGCGTGTGTCCTCATTTGCCTTCTTTTCTTTGGATTCTGAGGTAGGTGGAGCAACCTCCCTACCTCTCTGATTGCCTCCATCCTTTAATCTATTCTCTCCCTCAGGTTTATATAGTGGTTTGCGTTTCTCCTTTTCCCAATCCACATCTACACGGCTATTCTCTCTGTGAATGTTTTCTCTTTCATCCCTAGTACCTTCCCCTCGTACCCAGCTGCTGTCAAGATGGTCACATATAACATTCTGGGTTGGTTGGGGTATAGTGGTAAACTGGGGTGGTTCGATAGGTTGTTTGTCCATGGGGTCAGCCTCGTAAATGTGGTCATGCCCAGTCATCACACTCCTCCCCCCCTTTCTTCCGTCTTCTGCGCCCTTTTCCCCCACGCTGTAATGGAAGGCCTTGGTCTGGGGGGAGGTGAGGTGTGGTCTTTCTGAACATCACAACGTTCCTCTTCCACCCTCCTCCTCACTCCGTTGCTTCTCGTTCTTACGTGCGTGTGACAGAGATCTTTGGAGTCAATGGGTACTGCCGATGTGAGGCGCGGTAAGCCGATCTCACAAGCTCCGCCCTCTCGCGCATTCCTCCATCCGGGTTCACTCCTCTCCCTACTCCCCGGAGCGTCCATCAACTCGCAGTCACCCCTAGACCCATCCCACACTCCATATGTTCTCAACCCGGTCGGCATTGCAGAGCGGAGTCAAAATAATGATCACCAAGAGAATATCTATCAAAAATAGAATTTAATCCACCAAGCTTTCATCAAATACATTTGACATCATCAGGGTTAAAAGGCAAACGCCAGGGGAAGTCTTATATACAGTTGTTTAATGCCTGTTTCCGGCTCCTGGAGCGTGTCATCGGCCCCAGCTGATCGAGTTGAGTCCCAAGCACACGCCCCACATCAGCACCTATCCTCTTTCCATTGCTAATTTGCATTCTGTCATATGTTACTCCGTTAGCTGTTTCAGGGTTGGTCAGGTTGGGGGTCAGGATCTTTTCTCCTCCCCTGCTCATAACTCCCCCACCATCCCACACACGGCTTCCCTTAGGGAGTGGGGTGGGCAATTATTTAAATTGCTTCCAATATCCCTGCAAGCCCCAAGACCACTTTGATCTTGTTTATCTATCCCTCGGGGTTGTAACGCAGGCTCATAGTCACAGCCCATGCTATTCCTCCTCCCCTCCTCCTTCCCGTGAGTTCTCCTGAATGATCTACTGTTCGTTTCCACGCTCTCTCCCTCGCGCACACTCAGGATGTTTTCTGCCATTATCCCATTGTCAGTGCCTTGTTGTTCCGTCCATTGTCGGTAAGCACCATTCCC